CTCAGATTAAGAAATCAAATAAGACTCTTCAAAGATTTTAAATTCAGTCGTTGATAGGGGGACACAGAGGTTTAATCTAAGGAAAGCAGAGAAATTCTGGTCTGCATTTAGCATTTGAATCTTGTAATCTGTGATGTATGGATATCGATCTCATGAGTGTCTTACTAGAGACATCAATCACAACAACAAACAAAACAGCTGCAACTGGTATCAGGCATTTATAATCCCCATTGTTTTATACCCCTTCTTTGATGATTGTATTTTTCAACATCACATGGTTTTTATTATTGTCAATATTATAGCTCTAACAACACACGTAATGAAAAGAAGATAAAACTCTTAAGGTTTTAAACATTAATATGTACAAATGTTTCTAGCACTGCTTTTCTTATTTTCACGAAGCTGAATAGCAATACTGTACATGAAAAGCTGCCAGGGATGCAGATGTAATGAGGTAAAAAAAAAGCAGCCCAAATTTGGGCCATTAATAAAAATACATTCCAGACATTTCCCTGAGAGATGTTTACAGCTGCAAACTGACACAGAAATAAAAAAATTAAGACAAAGAGATTAAGAAATGTAGTGGTAGTTGACAACAGAGGTCCATTTCAGTTACTCGTCTCACAAAATAGCTACCACGTTGTTACCATTATAAGTCCCATCATGCAAGAAAGTGAACTCCTTCAGCTACTCTCTCTTACAGCTGGGATTGCTGAGAAATCCACAGAAGGTGCTCAGCACCTCACAACTAAAATCTAGTGACCACTAGTAGAAGATATCACAGCTGACAAGCTGCCAGCATGAGATTCCTGTAATGCTCTTAGCTGTAATTAGTTTGTAGGTACTGGAGAATGCAGTCACAAGACTGGCTGGTAACAACTTCAGCTGTGACTCCATTTATTTTACTTATGGCTTGTAATTCTTTACTAGCAAAACTATGGACAAAAGCTTAACTTTTCCCTTTTTAATTATAGAGTGACTAATACTGAAATATTTTCAAGCATTGAAATAATTTTCCATATTTGCAATGCTTCTACAAGGACAAACTGGGTTTTGCAATCCTGACTTGCATGCAATCACACAGACTGTGAGAGTACTTGAAGAGACATTTTGCTACCTGCACAAATGACTGTGGGGGCTGCAGGTTGGACCTAGGTTTCAAAATAAAACTGCTTTCAAGAATCAGGCACCTTTAATCTCACAAACTCTTGTTATAGATAATTTTAGTACAAATCATTTGCTTATTTTTAAATGTATTGTTTACAAGATAGATTAATTTAGACTAAATATTTATAATTTCTCAATAATAAACTACTGTTGATATCTCCTCTAATAAAGAAAAGCAGCTTTTCTTTATTTTGTCTCACAAACCAGGACTCTAAGCCTCGTACAAACATTAAAGTGAAATGTCTCCTCAAGCTAGAACAAATCCTTGATGATGACACCGGGCTATATTCTTATTTACTGAGCCTTCTTATCAGTTATATGAAGAAATGTCATGGCTCTGAATGTAATTTTACCAGAACCAACTGGGGATCACTGTTTTTACTTTACTATCTGTGTCTGGTAGTTCTTGAGAGAAAGAATATTCCTGGAGTCAGCTCTGACTTTGGGATAGTGGCCCAAGCTTTGTAAGCTCAGTAAAATCATTCCAACCCTTGCTCTCCTCCTGCTCTGTGCACTCTGGCACACACAGCAGCAACGAGCCCAGTACAACCATATGGCACAACTGGCCACAAGCTGGAAGGGGATGCACACACCTACAGTGGGAGTACATCCCATCCCATCCACGCAGTCACCCGCAGGCTGAGCTCCCTGACAGCTGATGTGTGTCAGAGACGCTTCTGAATACCTCATGTACCTATTCAAGCTACGAAAAAAGTCACAAAATTCCTGAAAAACTGCCGAAACTACCATGCTGAAAGCAATTTAAATTTACTCTGGGAATGCTGACTACTCATTGGAACAATGAAGAATTAAACTAGAAAATGAAATATCACCTTCAGCTCTTCAAAAAGGTACCTGACCTGGAAAAAAAATTGTTTACAGAGGTAAGCAAATAGGAAATGAAATACAGATGAGGGAATGCAGAATACTAAGGGACCTTGAGACAAAAAGCAACTTTGCTAATCTTAGGCATATCCATATGAATCCTCGAGAGAGAAACTTCATTGTTGTCAGATTTGAAGCCAAGTGCAAAAAAGATGCTAAGTACCCTTAGCTATCAGAGAAAGTGAATTGAGGCAGGAAAGAAAGGTGTCAGAGATAAGAGATGCTTCAGAGAAAGAAAGGCTCATAGAAACAGGAAAACAGATCTGCAGAGTCTCTCTCTCACTTCCAGCTCAGCAGTAGCTGAGTAGACATTTTAGAAAAAGGATAAAGTAGATAAGAGACACAAATATTCCCTTCAAAAACTTTTCCCCTCCATGCTCCCTGCCTGCTATACATAAGAAGGTAAATAAACATGTTTGTTTTCAGACTAAACAGCCATTAGTCATAATTCCCAAAGAGAAGTTCACTTGTAAGTGCCAAGCACAGCTGGGACTGTATTAACACAGTTGGACAACAAGGAAAGCTGTGTTCCAGAGAGATTAATGGCCAAGAGAGGCTGGCCCATGAGTTTTTATCCTGAGAAACGAAGGAAACCAAGCAGCCAGCTAACAGCAAACTTCTAATACCTTTGATGCAGCTTCCCCTCTCTGTCACTGCCAGTGCACACATACATTTCAGAAAATGTTGCTTTATTCTTTGTTTAAAACCAGCAGGCATATAGACCTTCATTTTACATCAGTGTTGTTATTACATAACCTGCAGCTTACAACTCTATTCTGGACATTCACTTTCTCTGCCTTTCACAGGCACCTAACCCATCCTTTCCTTACAAACACTTATTCACACCCAGTATCTGTTTTTCTTTATAGTCCTTTTCTCATTTCCCTACTACATTCACTCACGCATTCCCTACTTGTATTCTGCTAGTCCTGCTAGTTCTACACTACTTCAACATCAAAGTCCCTGTAATATCTGGAACATTTCTGGAATTTGTCTCCCAATAAACAAATCCACACACAACCAAGGCACATCCTTCTCATTCCACACCCACAACACACATAAGATCCTATGCTACCATCAGGTATGGAACAGATTCCAAATAACGAACAATTAAATAACCTGTAGCTCTTCCCTTTGGAAAGCTGACAAATTGAAGAGGGTTATACAAAAGAGATCTATCAAACCATCCTGCAGCAGTGAAAATGAGGAGAGGATCCAAATGAGGAGATGTTCATCATCTCATCCAATACAAGAACTACAGAGCACTAAATGAAGCTGTAGGAGTCAGGTTTAAAAAAAAAAACAAAAAAAAAAAAAACAAGGAGGTGGCAGTTTTTACGAAGTTAATCTGTGGAACTCATTGCTCGGGGTGTGCAATGTCAGAGGTTTGCTGGGGAGGACACAGGAGAAGTTCAGAGGAAGAGGGGTCAGCTGAGGATTCCCAAATACAGAGGACTGTATTTGGCTCATGAAATCCCCACATCACAAATGGCTGGGGCTGCACTTGTGGTCTCTGTTAGATAATGCTCCTCATGGAGCTCTGGTTGGACTCTACAGCTGGGTTTGAGCCCGGGCAATACATAAGGCGGAAGTTTCTTATTACAGCGAAAGCACATTTTTCACAGTATGACTGACCCAAAAAGTGTATTTTAAATCTGTAAAATAGGATATTCAGTTCACGTATAAAAATTAATGCAGTAAATGTGAAAGGATAATTGAAATAATACCTAAACTGCATTTTATATAGAACAGAATTCTACTTTTGACTAGAGGTAGAAAATAGAGAATGGGAACATATCCCCTATACATATAAATCCCTGTAATTGTTTTGAAAAGTGATGCAAAATCAGTGGAAAATATTCATGAGGACAAACGGGTAAAAAGCATGGTGTTTTTGAAGAGCTCATTTCTGGACTGCTTGAAAATTGCAATAAACTGTATTTAATAATTATTTCAGGAAACTTCATGTTTCTTAGTTATCTCACAGCAAATAATTCTTTCCAGATGCTTTCCATATTTCTCTCACTTCCAATTTGCTTCATTCTCATTTCTTTCTCTCTTAGAGCAAACATTTGGCTCTAAAAAAAACCCCAAATCCAGAAAGAACTGCCAGAAAAATCTGCTCCATGCAGTGTGTACAGTGTTCCTGCTCTCCTTGCAGAAAAATAGTTTTAACTGCTGAGATGCTGACATTACTTATTTATATTTATATACACACCAACTTCACTATAGGTGGACTGATGATGGGTAAAAATAGCAATTACCTCACAAAGTAAAAATCTGAATTCACCTGCCTAGGTACATATTTTTACAAATACAATAGTATGTTTGCAATTTTACCATAAAATATGCAGATAATTGAAATATATACTGCACTAAGCTTTTTATTGGAGTTTTTTTCCCTTATATAAAAATGTCAAGATTTAAATATTTTCAGGGAAAATTTATTATTTTTCTAGTATGAGAATATACATGCACTTCTTCTTTAAGTACCTGAAGAAAAAATCTTGGATACACTGTCCTATGGATGTTAAAAATAGCATTGGGTCTATTTATTACATTGTTTCCATAAAATCCCAGCCAACAGGTCTCTGAAACACTTGAAACGTTTGTAATGAAGTTGTCCTAGACTAGAACTGTTCATGTTAATATGCCTGCCCAAATATTAATCATGTAATGTAGCAAATTTTAAACAGCATTTCAAAGGGCACCATACCATGTTCTAAATTTAAAACTATCTACAAATCTTGCACCAGGGTAAATTTATTCACCACTGAAATGTTGCTGTTGTTAATAGGAAAAGTTTGTGGCAATTTTTTAAAAAACAGCCATTCAGAAATGTGTCCATGTAGGATGGAAATAAGATTGAATTATAATCTATGTTATCATCTTTCTAGATCCTAGATTAGCTATGATAAAATTGGCAGCATTTGACCACTATTACCTACCATTCTATCTTCAACTGATTTTCATGCTCTCTTCCTTTAATAGCATTGTATTCACTTTGGCAACTAAGAAGTTGTTGCCTTATTTGGGAAGCTTCACTGGAAGATTCTTCGGGGACTTGTTCTGCTTTTTCCAGTTCTTGCTGTTGTTCCAGTTCTGCACTAAGACGTTTGGCTTCCTGCAACAGCTGGGTCTCAGATTCCTGTAAACTGCATTAAATAGACAAATTTAGAACTAGGCAATAAGAAGTATCAGCTTTATATTCATACTTTTTTACCTTCCTATAGTAGTTAATTCAAGGTTTTCAAGATGAGATGGGATTCAGTCCTGAATAATCTGGTGTGGTCTCCTAGTTCAGCCTGTGTTGGACAGCAGGTTGGACCTTCTGAGGTCAGTTCAAACCTGAAGCAGCCTAAGATGCCATGAGAGCAGTGGAATCTGGTCTCAGGGTTTTTTCTGCATACCTGGAGTTAGAGTGAGATTCATCTCATCTAATTTTAACCAGGTAAAAGACCATTAGTTAGTCTAATTTATTTGTCTGGCACCTCCTAGACACAAGTGACACAGGGAATGTCCCTAGACACAGGGAACCCATTTTATCCAAAGAAGTGCCAAAGGCTACATGTGATTCAGTGTGGGGACTTATAATAGGGAAGTATTCATCAGGACAAGGCCCAGTCTGGGCTACACCACAACTTTAAGTTCCTAATAAACACCAAGACACCTACTCAGGGATGAGTTGCATCTTGCTACTGCTGCAGTGTTACCAGGATCTGAAGTAATTCATTTAATGATACACAAGCTGAAAATACATTTGTGGACATCTGTGGAAGCTCATTATAAGGCCTGTAGATGTGAACAGTTATCTGATCTGACTCATAGCACCAAAGTCTCACAGAAACAACAAACTGTAATTTCTGTCAGTGTCAGAAGACTGGTATTCATAAATCCCTAGGAACCTGTGTGGTGATAGCTGAATAACATCTTAAAGGCTGTTAGCAAAATACATTGATTATCATGGAAAAGTCTTAGAGGGAACTACAATATGAAAATTCATATACAATGCACCACACATAAACCTTTGCTTCAAACTATAGAAATAGTTGTGTATACCTTCTCAGTATTACTACAGTGTGACTTTTGAGATAATGGTATACTTAAATTAGTTAAAAATTATATAGAGGAATAAAGAACTCTATCACTTAACTTCTACTAATTAAAAATATAGTGCAACTTAATATTTTTTACAAAACAAGGGAATCTGAAATTTCCCATATTAAGAAAATCTATACATAAACTTTGGCTCAAATTTGACTTTTATGGCTTAGGCACAAAAAAATTAAATATCACACTGAAGAGTAGAGTTGAGATGGTAACTACAAAAATACAAAATATACAACTGTCAATACTGCACAAACATAGCTGAATAACATGGCAGAAAAAGTTTTGGTTTGTGTAACATTTCTCCTTAGATAACCACTTCCTTTTTCAAAACTAGAAAATAAGAAAACCACAGACTTCAACAGAAAACTGAGTGTGTCTTTATCACGAACAAATAACTTCACGTGCAATGTGTTTACACACTCATATTAAGGGAAAAGTAAATTGACTTACTGTCACTGGATTCTACATAATATTCAAATCTTCTTTGAGTCCAACAGAATATTTGCAGTTGTAGGAGAAAATATAATTGGTTGTAATAATACACATTGATTTCAAACACAATTCTTACATGATGCATACAATTTACATACAGTTACATAAACACATAAGTGATTCTAAACAATCAAAATTCTCAGTATTGATTTTTTTAAAGATAATAAAAAGAGAAAAAAAGAACAAGAATTGAGTGTTGAATCTAGCTCTTGCTCCCTACAGATGCCAACAGCATTTTTTCATGTGCTGATTTAAATTTAATTGAAGACATTGAAGAAATAACTGGGCATCTACACGATGTACACATCTAGAATCACATGAGTGCAAAAGTAGGTTTGTGCAGTCTGATCTGGCAGATTTTGAATTTTTGAATTGATTAATATTTTAGCAGAGGCTTAAGAAAATAATATTCCCAATCTGCCAATGAGTTTTCATTATTACCTGGGTATTTTCTAGCTTGGGTTATCCGAATATTCATATTAGGTTCCTAAACTCAGACAATCAAAATAAAGATTTACAATTGGGCCACATAACTGAGTGACTGAGTGGGTTTTCAGGGACTTAATATGAGTTCAGGTACTTCACCTTTAGGTGCAGCCTTACTGCAAAGGGAATGGGTGAGACAGCACCACAATGGGATGACAGCCTGTTCCCAGCAAACATAAATTCCAAAGCACATAACACTTTGAAGAAATGTACCAAAGATTCTATCTGCTAGGTGATGCCTCTCAGCTTTTCAGAATGCCGAATTGTGCAAAACTGAAAGCAAGAAATAAAAGACTATTTACCACTGAACAAACACTAAACTATACACTCTGTACTCCAGCAACAGCCTTGGAGACTACCTGCATACAGACTTGTTGTATTCATTGTGCTACACAAATTTGTACTGTATGTCAGAGAGATCAGTTGCAATAGTTTGGCACAGCTGTCACAGGGAACTGTGCTGCTTGAGATTTCTGAAGGCTACTAAAGGGAAGAACACAGCCTGAAGACCTCATCCTCAGTCCTTTGTTTTAATGTGACATTGTAACAGCACTAAGACACGTGGGCATGAATTAGGAAAGAGGTTGAATTCAACCGTATGAGGTGAAAAAGTAAGCTCTTGATCCACAGAACTGTACTGAACATGTAAGGGTGAAGAACTAGAAATTCAGAGTATACTGGTGTTAACATATGGACAAGTGAATCCCACTTTAGATGCCTGAAAAGTCCTTAAATTAGACTGGAGACCATGATCCCTTTTTGCTGACTGATTTCACTTTCAAAAGAAAGCAGTAGGAGAAATTCATGTGTGGGAACTAGTACTTGTTCACACACTGGTGTTTTGCTTTGACACACAACTACATCTCAATAAAGAGTGTGAGATGATTCTCTCCAATTCACTTTCTTACAGAACTATGGTGATTTCATACTCCTGTGAGAATGATGGAAAGAATGAGAGATGTAATCTCCCATCTAACATTTTCATGCTTTTGGTGCATGCTGTTAAGGGTAGTTTTAAGTGTGACAGAAAGGACAGCTGAGTCCTGTTTACACTCAGGCCATATTCCACTTGCTACACACACAAAGGGATTGTCTTTACATAAATGAATGTTCTATATAAAAGAATACTATATAAATACATAAAATATGTAGTAATATGCTTGTATTTTTCCAATCAAAGACTGTTTTCAAACTACCACTGGCTAAAAGTCAATAAAGTTCAATCAAGTTTAGCAGCTACTGGATTTCTACTTCAGCTCAGTGAACACCACTGAGGTAGAAAACTTTGCAACCAATTAATCCAAACCCCATATAAAGGTTTAGTTCTGAGCATTTAGAAAAACCTTCTTGCATTTTCTAAGAAGACAATCTGTTTTAGGAGTTCTAAATCCTAGAAAGATTTGCAATACATTAATCTGAAATAAAGTCAGATGACTTTTCACAGTCAGAGCCATATTTTAACTCCTCATTTTATTAAGATGAAATTAGAAGACTTGGTAAGCTCAAGAAAAACTGCTATTTCAGGATTTTGGGTACTCCTTTTCAAATTATTTTACATTACTTAGCACTTGTCACTATTCAGATTACCAGGAGGCATAGCAAATCCCAGCTGAACCCAAATAAGCAGATATGACTTCAATTAGATTCCTTAAATTAGGCATTAGGTTTAATGACAGAATTGCTATAAAGGTTTTGATGTGGGCTGTCAGTGAAATTGGGATAAAATATTGTTAATATAGTGAACATTACGGTATGTAGTACAGAAATGTAACAGAAGTATCATGACACTGATTTAACTTGTAATCACAGACATGCTGTAATATCAAAATTATTACTCATAAATACTAATGTAGTATTGCAATATTTGCAATAGGACTACTCTGCTCTGTGACACACTGTTCACCTGGTACAACTGCAGTATTGTGTCGCTCCCTCTCTCCCTCCACTCCCACATGCCCTGCCCAAGCCTGGCATCAGGCTCTCTCCTTCATGATCTCTCCTCTCTCCTCCAGCAAGTACTGGTGCAGGGCAGGCTCACAACTGCTACATTTAATTTCCAAATTCCATTTATACTGTGAAGCTTAAGGTTCTCATCTAAATTAGCAGTCCTGTTTAATGCGACTGTCAATATTCTCAGAGTGTAAAATTCACACCTACTTAGAAGTGACAAAGTCTCACGTTCTTTCTTAGAAATGAGCCTCTACCTTCTCAGTTGCTCTCTATGATGTCAGCTCTTTTCATATCTTGCAATTCTGGCTTCATGATCTTCAAATACGTATTTATTTTCAACTTGTATGTTGTCTATTGCAGTCTGTGTGTCTGTCCATTCCCAATATTATTATGTTTATATTAGTAATAAAGATGTTGTTCAAACAGGTGTTTAGGTATCCCTAACAACCTTGAAAGTTCCTATTAAATAATATTGGTTTAAAAACTTGTGTTCTTGCTTCTTTTATGAACTATCACCATGAGAAAGTCTTAAATGATAACTAGGCTTCAGCAAGAGCATAAAATTACTTTAAATATGTAATGCTTTGGCTACTAAAAGTCTAAAAATAGAATATTATACCTTATCACAGTCTTATGCAGCAGGGTATACTGTTCCTTCAGCTCAGCTGCTTTGGTGTCTGTAATTTTTCCAGCAGAAAATAGCTATGGAAGGGAAACAGACGGTTATGAAATCTCTTAAACACCAATATTTTCATTCTGCTGCAACTTTTCATAACTGTAATTGGCATCCTTTCAGTTTAGACAGTCTCTGGTAACATAACAAATTAAATACACAACCAAATCAAATACACAGAGAAAAGAAATGCTTATTTACACAACAATTCAAAGCAAAAACATAAGGAATGTGTCTGTTTTAATTGCAGGGCTACCTGCACCACCGTTTCTTCTCCAATTTTTTGTCTGTATTAATATTTCATGATAATTCTGTTTTGAATTTGAACTCAGGCTCTAAGTCACTTGTTTTCCACATTGCTTAACTGGTCCAGTTTTGGTATAAAGCTGCTGGCCTGTACAGGCTAAACTGAGGCTCAAAGTGTCTCCCCAGGCAGTAGGGTAGCAAAAAAGAGGAGCTGTGTTCAAGCTGGATCATCCCTGTGCAACAGAACACATCGCCTTACCTGCCTGTGCATGTCTTCAGCAAATACCAAGATCAAACACCTATCTCAAGTACCTCCAGGGATGGTGATTCAACCACTTCCTTGACCAGCCTGTTCCAAAGCTTGACCATCCCTTCAGTGAACAATGTTTTCCTAACATCCAGTCTAAACCACTCCTGGTGCAACCTGAGGCCATTTCATTTTGCCCTGTCACTCGTTACCTGGGAGAAGACACTGACCTCCACTTGGCTACAACTTCCTTTCATACAGTTGTAGAGAACAATAAATTCTCCCCTGAGCCTTCTCTTCTCCAGGCTAAACACCCTCAGCTCCCTCAGCTGCTCCTCATCAGATTTGTGCTCCAGACCCTTTACCAGCTCCATTGTCCTTCTCTGGACACATTTCAGCACCTCAATGTCCTTCATGTAGTGATGGGCCCAAAACTGAACACAGGATTCAAGCTGCAGCCTCACCAGTGCTGAGTAGAAGGGGACAATCACTTTCCTGCTCCTGATGGTCACACTATTCCTGTGTGATATTTCTTTAGAAAACCTTTTTTCCTCTCCTTTGATCACAAGTAAGGAGAACCGGGTTAAATCCAATTAGAAAATGTAAGGTGATCCAGCTCTATACAAGTCCATGGTTAGCCTTGTGGGGCAGCAAGTTAAATCTGCAAATTCTATGGGAACCTGCCAAGAAACGCGATTATCTAGATCTCCTGAAATAAGAAATGAAATTACTACAGCACCAGGAAAATCCCAGAAGTCATAATTCAACCTTTAGAACATTTAAAAAAAAAACATCTCAAAAACCAGTCCTATGGTCAAGAAGCAGAATACAAGTTAATATGCTGAAGGAAGTATATGTTTTCTTGCAGACTGTTTATGTATTTTTGAAGATTAGTTCCAAAATGTTTCATGGTAGCAAAGACAATCTTTGCTCCCTGAGACCCTGAGAAAAGGAGAGAAGGTCTTCTTTTCATTTGTTTGCATGAGATTAAAGATAAGCAGTTCTCAGATATTTATTTTGGCATTCTCTGTGATCCAAAGATACTGGTCACTTGGGTTCACAATACTAACTAGCTCTTCTGTGAGAAAGAAAATATTTCCGTCTCTCAACCCATTTATTTCTTAGCCTCCTATGTAGAAATAGCTGTCCTATTTGGGTGGTACCTCACTAATGTCCTCTCTCCACACTGCTCTGGTCTGTACCTGTGACTTACGGTTTTCCTTACTGCTTAGGTTCTCACTTCAGATCTATGCCATGTTTGACAACATTTCTACAGGAATAACAGGCTCTGTCTTCTTTATATCCATCAATTTTTACAGCTTTTACCCTTAATTCCTCAATTCAGTTCAGAGCTAAGAGCTCCATTCCGATGAGGTTTGTCCTCCACAATGTGATGACCTGTAGCATTGAGGACTGCACGGGACAGACTGCACAGATGGCACACCAAGATCCCTGGGAGGGCAGAAGGAAAAGAGGCAACTCTCTGAGGGGGAGAAATAGCCAGTTTGTGGAAGACGGAAGAAAAAATATGAGCCTACTATAAAAAAAACATATTCATTGTGATGATAAAACCAGACAAGAGATGATGGCCTTGATATACAGATATATACATTTTTCCAGGCTGCCTTTTCCACACTAATGATAAAATAGCCAACAGTATGCATGCACTCATAGTTCATTTTATTGCTTGGAAACTCTCACATTGCCAGATTAAATAAAATGTTGTTCTCCTCAGTGCAGCTAATCATGTTGCTACACTAAAAAGTAAAAGAATGAGTGAGAAGATGGAGTAGTAAAGAAAAAAAGAGCTTGTGAATGGCAACTGAGGATGTCTTTTTTTTTTCAGTTCTGTGTTAACCATAATGCCCTGGAAATAATTGAGATCATTTTGTTATACTGGTGATCTCAGATCAGCTCTGGAATATAGTCAGATAAATATTCCTAACTTATTGAGTCTTCCAATCCCTTTCCATCTCAGTTGTACTTAACTGTATTTTGCTTTTCTCACCTTTCCTTTCTCATTATGCAATGAACTAGGACCTCATACATTTTTAAACACACTCAATGTTGATAGATATCTGGATAAACTAAAATACATTTTCCTTATCTAAGAAGCTGGAAAGTTGGATGAAGATTTGGCTGTTAATGGATGGTTACCTGGCAACTTTCTGCTTTCCCTCTTCCCATACTCCCAAAAATGTAATTACACTGAAAATATGCAAGTATGTATCTTATTAGTGAGTTTACCTGCACCTTTTCCTTTTAATTTAATATTTCTGTTATGTTTATTTTACCCTAGTCAATGACCCTTTCTTTTACTTTACGCTCATCTTTAACTGATTAACATGAGTGTAACTTTTTAACTTTGCTACACTTTTTCATGTCCTTCACTATTTGAAGTCTGGCTTTTCTACCAGAAAAACAAAACATAACAAAACAAACACAAACCAAACCCAAACCCAAATTCCAAAGCAAATTTGTTTCCTTCGATCCATGAACAATCCCATTAAGTAAAGTGCTGGATAATCCTGTCCTATTATAGAAAATGTGGAGGAAAATTTTGCTGAAAATGTGAAAGGGAAGGACATATCCTTCATATTTTTGTAGTTCTACATGGATTTTATGGCTTTGGACAGGAATCTTAAATATAGGGATCCATGAGAAAACTCTTTATAGCTGCTGAACATTGAACAACTCAAATAGTTGTTCCATGCACCTGAATAACTTCTCTCTATCCCCAAACTAGCAATAAGTTCATAATTGCAAGCTACCAGCAGCTCCCCATCAGAGTTCTCCACAAAATATCCTGAAGAAAATTCCAAGAAAATATAAGCACTATGTGAGGTTACACACTATCTGAAGGTCCTCTTGTATATCCTTCCGGCTTGACTTCAGGATGTAGGACCACAGGAGTTTCTCCAAGTCTGGATACAGAGGTGTGTGATACATGAGATGTTGGTAACAAAGAGAAGATGTCAGAATAAAAATGGGAATTAAAGCCACAGAAGGGAGAGGGCCGACCTGATAAACAAGATACTCTTCCATGTGAGCAAACACAGTGAAATATGGTCCCAACTATATCAATGCCTCCTCACTTCCACGTTATGTGCACTGGGCACTCTCTACTCTTTAACAGTATATTTGGTCCTTCCTGAAAGTCAACTCAAAGTAATACACCAAGGAACTCTACTGAAATTTCAAAACAAGTTTTATGTAACTCAAATGTGATATAAATAAGAACTCTAGGAACATTTCCCGTTTTGAATTTCAAGGCTTTTAAAAATTCTTTTGGGACTCTACAGAAATGAATAAAACTCAGCCAAATTTTAAACTTAAATAGATGATGCAATCTGAATGTTGGTCACTCACACTCTTTTGATAAAAAACGCTCAAAATAAGCATGGAAGATATATATAGTCACCACCAAGAAATTACTGATTAACATCAATTACTCATAATCATTATGAAAGTGAAACACTTGAGGCTTCCGAGAAAAGAATGAATTTCAACAGTGCCTAGGATCTCTGCATTTTGGAGAAATGATGTTGCTAACACGTGTTTCTAATTATGTTTGCAGATACTGCAAAACAACTAAAATGTATTCTAAGCTCAAATGGAATAGTAACACTTTCCACTTCTTCATTCTAAGCTCCACATTTTGTAACTATAACAAGACATTATGACTACACTTACTGTTATTTTAATACTTAGAATATCCAGCCTTTCATATTAATTTGCTTATTTCCAACATCTGAAAGGTCTCATCAAACAACTCTTTTGCCTCATAATAGGAGACAAGAGAAAAATATCAAGGGATTAATATATTTTATAGTTTGTACACACTCAGGATTTCAGGACAGTATTAGCCACTTGGCATACAGCTTTTCTGGCCAGTCTACTATGTCAGGTTTGGAATTTTCTTTCTGTGTTGTTTATTTGAAGAGCTTTTCTTACCTCCATTGTATAATATTTAAAAGTTTAAGCATTCAGGGAAGCGAAAGGATAAGTGCTCCTCTTTAAACAGAGAGCTCTGCATCCTCTGTCAAAATCCTCCTTTAGTCCAGGCTGTTTGGCACTAACCACACAGCTCGGATGCTCCTTATTCCAGGGAGAGGGCAGCACCATCTTCTCAGCTGTTGCTTCTGCAACAATTGTAAGGACACAGCAGGTACACACAGGCTGAAGCCATGCCATGACCTGTGCATTTCTACCTGTATTGCTGGCTACCAGCCTCCACAGAATCACAGAGCTGGGGATATCTGCTGGTGTTTGGCTTGCCTGAGCCTGATACCTCCAAATTATCTAGGCAAAATTGTGGACCCATGATAGTGCACTAGGGGAACAAAAGATTCCTCCTCAAGTTCAGCTCATGGCTCAGAGGAAGTTTGTAACTCACTGCTCCTGAAGATCACATCCTGGCTACTTCAAGATGGAGCATCCAAAAACGAAGGAAAAGATATTTAAAAGTCTATACAGTTTGTGTTTGTAAGCTTTCTGGCAATCTTAAAAAAAACCACATGAAAACTGCTCCAAAAACTCCCAGTCCTGATGCCAGAGAATTTAACAGTCATAAGGACTTCTGTAACAACTTCATCTGATTCCGCAATCAATACACAGGACAGTTTTTACCATCTTCACCGCATTTCTACAGGGCTTAAAGCACGCTCTTCATTTTCCAGAGTGCTATGTTTACATAATTGTTATTGCAACATAAAGTAAAAAATAAATTCTATGTAATACATGAGGGGAATTAAGTCAGGAAAATTAAGGCAGGAAAGAACTTCTGGGTGCCATTTAGTCCAAATTCCTGCTCAAAGCAGGGACACCTTCAAAGTTAGACCAGGTCTGGGACCTCAGGACCATGTCCTGTCATATTTTAAAAAAGTAGTGACTGAACAAGGATGCGGTGGTTGAATATATATTGTACCAGTTATAAGACACTCTCTGTATTCAGCTGATATGCCAACAGCTCTCTAATTTTTACCCAAAAGAGGATAATGACTTATCCTGAAGTATACTGAGTATAACCACTGACTACCTTACTTTGTCTCACTTGCATGTTATTCCCAAACCATTCAATTAAAGACTGAAATATATTGCCTTTAGACTTTAGAAAGCATAAGGAAGGCAAAAATAAATGCCAGAATGGAGATTAATAATGAAGTCAGCATATTTAAGATTCTAATTATTTTAATAATAAAATTTAACTTGTTAAATTATTTCAGACTGCTTTCCAGCATTTATAAGAGCTAACAAACATTCTCAGTGAGGCTCTTAGTTGCCTTTGATTATAGTGAGAGCCAAAGATGACTACTGAGCTCAGTCCAAACACCAGATATTTAGATGACCTAAACTCTGATTTTAATGTAAAGTGTTGCATCACAATTTAAATATGCCCAGAAAATATCATCTTTAGCCTTTTTATTTGGTCCTTGTGCATTTTTCAGTATGCCTCAAATATTAATACAGTTCCAAACACTTCCAAAATTATCTATAATTTCTCTACTCAACAATATTTCAGGCTTCAGCACATATTTTTAAATATTTTAAAACAAGAAGATAAAAATCACTAATTTAGGACTGTAAATATTTAGTTACACAACAAATTGTAGTTATCAGAATGCAATTCTGCATTCCATTTGTAAATTGGGAAACACTGAAAGTACACACAGGAATAGCTATGCTGCAGATATTTAGGCATTACATGACTTGCCTAAGTCATTATTCTAGAGAAAGGTTATGATGGTAGAAAGTAAAGAAAAATGCAGTAAGGTTTTAAAATTAATGCTGTAATTAGAGTTAAAAAATAAGGTGAAATCCCTCTCATCTGTAACTACATGCATCTATTATAAGAAGTAGACTTTTTAAGATAAGTATGGGAAGTCCATAGGAGAAGCCTATTTATTAGCTTTTCAAGTAGAAAAAGATTTGTTATGGAGTTTTCTCAACATTTATTTAGGTAATAAACAACAATACTTGAAGCTATGAGGCTATTGATTGCACAAATACAGTCAGGCACTTATCTCCTGATGTTTGTGACAAGCAAAATTATGACAAAGTAACAAGTACATTTGTATAAGATGACATTTATATGTATTCTATTTTTACAGGAAAACAAAATCAACTTTCTTAGTAATTTCTATTTGGAAGTTAAAATAATTTAAATAATTTGATAAACTGATTTTTTTATATTTTAATAATTGCTTCACAAATTATTTTGCCCTCTTTCCTATTCCAAGAGAATCATAAATGTAATTAATAAGATTGAGTGCACTTTTTAAATATAACATATCTTTATTTCACAAAGTGAGGACATAGGGTTTATGGGTCCTTGAACTTTGCTATCTAAAGAAAAATTACTTGACTGCATTGACTGTACGTATAACAAGCCAGGAACTCAGAAAAGTCAGAAACCAAACAAATGAGCATGAGAAATTATTAATATCTACCCACTTTATTCTGCCATGGAGTGTTTTATATCAATATACCACATAGTCTACTATAAAGTATTCACATGAAAAAAGCTATTTGCACATGATGCTACATAAACAGACAAAACTGAGCATGGGGGTAAAGACATGCATCAGAATCATAAATACACCTGCTTATGGTAGATACAGCACTGTATTGCCTTACACAGAATGTCTACAAGTTTACTTTCTTACTTACAGATGGATGAGCCAGGCTTCCTGTAATGAAAAATAAATCGCTAAAAAGCCTTCTAAAACTAACAAATAACGACTAGGAAAGATAATATCACAAATTCTTTCCCAAGACAAAGTTCATAACAGTAGTTTTCTCCCCCAGTTCATGGGAAAGAGTAATCCCTACATGAAAAAATACAAAAATCAGTACAAAAATACTGCATCTGGTGGCCAATTGTGTCTCATATGGCTCAGAAAAAGAGGGCATAGGAGACAGGCATTTGGGGAAAGGACACAACTCTCCTGCTGTCACCTATTTGGCTATGAATCTCGAAAGTAAGATCCAGTCTTACACTTTCTGGTCTTATTGGAGCAGGTTTGCAGGAATCAAAAGGGAATTTTCTTGAAAAGACGTATCAGAGAGAGGCTTCTGTATTTGCTATGTTATCACTCTTGAAGTGCATTCTGGTTTATTCTCCCCATACACTTAGCCGACTACAGCATCTTCTACAACTACAGATAAAGGAAGTATTTAGCAGTAAATTGTAGATTTTGGGCAGGCAGATCTTCAGATGTCATGAAAGAAACAGCATTAATAAGAGCTCAGTTTTGAGGACCTCTTTCTTCACAAATATGGTCCTCACCTTAACAGAAGGAGTGATATTCTTTGACCACATGAATTTTATAATATGTGTTACATTTACAATTGCTTATATAAATATCTAACCTACTACTTACATGCTCTATGTCAGTGCTGCCTTTCTGCCTATTGCCAGAATTTATAAATAAAACAATGACCAATTTCAACAGATATGAAAATCAGACTGAAAATCTTTTTGTGTTCCGAGTTCTCATGGACTCATGACAAGTTGCACAGGTAGTCCCACAATCCAGTGGCCAGGAAAAGGACTGCTTGTATGAAGAATGACTACTGAATTAAAAAAAAATAATTGAATTCATCAGAGAGAATTCTAAATCAGAACTTGTTTCTATTATGGAATTCTGGTATAGATCCCACATTGTAGGAAAACCTGACAATTAATCTAATTACTTGTCATCCTCTTTCTCTGCCAAAATATATCACAGAATCACTGAAGTTTACAAAAAAAAAAAAAATTACTGCAGCAGTTGAATCTTAACACATCCCAATCTGCCACCAAAACAGTTTATATGAATGAATCCAGTTGTGCTTCAGGTTTGTTCATATAAATCGTTTGAACTCTTAGACAAACCTGGATGCTTTGCAGCAATTTTTCTGCAGGTGCTGACTACCAGAACAAAGCCAGAAATCAAACAGATGGCAAACTGTTGTGTTTTAAATTGCCATAGTCACTAGTTAAATTAATATCTGCCTACAGTCATAACCTTACTGTTTTCTATTTGACCTGCATTCCATTATCTGCCAGAAAAAGCCCATACTCTAAAAAACATGGGAAAGGGTTCATGCTGGTTTTGATAAACTTTGAATAAACACTCCTCAGACAAGTCTGATTAAACAAAATACATTACTTTAACCTTGTCATCACTGGGTAGTTCTGAAATAGAATTAAAATCTTCAGTAGAATTTAAGAATCTCATAAGCTTTCAGTTTAGGAAGACACGTCTGTAAGATTAAGATACCTCTTCAGTCCACAGGGGGAATAATAGATTCCTAAAAAGAAGGCTAAAAAAGATGAAAAACTATAAGAAAATTACCTTTAAGCAAAAACCCAAAGGCCTTAGTAGAAAAATCTCATAGTCATCAGCTGTTATTTAGTTAGATCCATTCACAGTTGAAAAAGATTGGCTTTTGGGTTTTGTGATTGCTTAACTGATTTAAAATTTTAAGTTTTATGCAGAACAGTCTAGGGATCTAGAGAGGCCCCATCTGGGAAGAAACCTTGCTTATAAACAAACCGCAGTTCTCGGTTTTAATCTGGTCAATATTCCTGCCATTAGTTAAGCAGCATCAGCTTCTCACAGCTTAAGATTGCTCAGTGTCCTTTCTGAGGGCAAAGATTTCTGAAAAAATCAGATTTGAAGATTTGTTTCCTTTATCCCAAGGAAGAGACATGAAACATGAAAAAGGCTGAGGCACACTGCCTTGAGTTCCTGAAGGAAAAATAGAGATTGGACAAATTATTGGGAATGGACATTCCCTGACAGAACAGCAAGACAGACCGGCCCTCAATTACAAGAATTCTTCAGGTGGGAGAAGCATACAGATCCTTGATGGAAAAATGGATCGTTTGGACTCCAAACAGATTGCTGACAGCCTAGCAGCACAACATCAGACTAATAATGAAACCAAGAGCATAGCAGAGCAACTCAAGATTACTGAAGTCTCATACAGAGGAGGAATGGATATATCAGGACAAAGATGTTTGAAAAGCTCAGATACCTCACTTTACTGTCTGAACTTCCTTTTTTATAACATTCACCATTACCAGAAATTTCTGCCCTTTTGGATGTTACAAAATTTTAATGATATTTCTGGCTTTCAATGCAGCACAGTGTCATAACAATTACAACAATTACATAAAAATTACAACAATATTTAATATGCATTTAAAGACTTCAAGGCAACTCATACAGTGTGTTCTACCAAGGATAATCCTTATTAATTTTACAGGTACAGAACAGTTTGTCCAGTTCAAAGTCACAAAGCAGATAGCAGAGGTCATTATAAACTGAATAAACAATAGTGTGGGGGAGGTATGGCTTCCCAAATAACAAGGATTTAGGAATTCTACTCAATTTCTAAAGTCCCTCAAAAGAGGCTGGTATAGCTTTCCTCCATTTGACAGTAGCAGCCATACAGGAGAACAAAGCCCTGATTTTACACTGATACATTAAACAATTAGCATCCTATTAATCAAATGAATAATTAAAAATGTTGCTCACAAATTAAAATCGTACATGTTACAAACATTTAAGTTTTGAGATATTTTTAACAAAACCAAAGTGATGTCTGTATCTTAAACCTGAGTGGGGCAGGTCTTTCACCTTCTTGTTGAAACTATCATGATCTGAAAGGGAGACAGACACAGTTAAGCTCCATAACTAAAAGCACCATGGCAGGTTTTGGGATGTTCATTCAGAATAAGGGGAATGTAGATTGAAAACCATCTCCTGAGAAAGTGCTATGCAGGGATCTGAAAGAATTGTTGCAGCAGGTGAGATGAGTAGGTTTTTTTACCAAGCCTCCCTCCTGTAATATCGATATGATCATGTGGTGTGTATAAAAGTCAGTAACATTGCAGAGATCACGAACTTGTGGATTATATGTGTGACTAATGTCTGTTTAATGTTTAATCTGTATTATGAGTAATTTCAAATAGGGTTTAAGGAACTAAATGGTTCAGATTTGACTAATTAAACAAGAACTGGTGTAAATACCTTTACTTGTGCAAATTGTTTGGCTTTTGAAAGAGTTGTGAATGCATAAAGACATATCCATGCCTTGCTTTGAGGCACAAGGAAAATGGCATAGATCATTAAAGCTGCATAGGCATCACGTGAGAATAGCAAAGGTGGCTGTAAAATAATAATGAGGGAGTACATGGCACCTGTCACCCGGAGAAGTATTTTGTTTGGTGTGATTAGTCATGTAAAGTACATGATTAACTCTGAAAGCTGATACGAGGCACAATAAAAAGAAGAGCAATACCCCAAACTGATGAGAGTTCCTTCCTTAGCTCTCTGCCTCACTTTAGATTTAGAATTCAGGACATTGTTCAGAACATCAGGATTTGCTTTGGGTTTCCTGGACAAGCAATCCAACAGCTCAGGATCCCATGCATCAAAGGGGGAACTGTCTGAAGTTACTTCCCTTCACTTAGAAAGGTTCAGTAAGAATCACTCAGATTCAGGTAGTAGTGATTTTTAACAGTGATGTGCCATAAAAATTATGAATATTACAGACAGCTATTTTAAGTTGGATTAGGCCAAATAGGAAGAAGAAAGTGCTGCTTATCCTCCTGAGTTTGTGACTCCATCCTGAAAAATGTTTGGAGTCAAAACTATATGTGTGTTTCAATATTTTTTTGGTTTTACATAATTTTCATGAACACATCAATTAAGTTATAAGAAAAGTTTTAGGAAGAAGGGGACTGAGTGTCAGTAAATCTATTACTGTGATAAACCCCTAATGGGAAAGGGGCTGGTTTTTACTTTTTCAACCTGCTGTGTTAAAATGATATTCTGGGTTAGAGAATAAGCCTTAGACACTCAAATGTTAAAAACCAGATGTTAGAAGACTGTTATAATAAAGAGGTAGATGATTACTTTTCCCAAAAAAGAAAACCCATGTACAACAAGAAATGAAATTAAACTACAATAAGTGACCAGCACACATGCATTTCATCATTTTGCTTACATACACTAGTTCTGAGTCAGGAATACTCACTGAAATGTGCTACTCTTGCAAGCACTACCTACTCTGCTCTGCTATTAATCACCCGTGATGCAAGCACTCCCACCCATTTCTGAGAACAGTGTAGGCAGTCTGATAACTCACAGGCTTCAGGCTGCCCTTATAAAGTTGTTCCACTTTTGCATACTTCCTCATACTGCTGGATTCTCAGTGAAGATGAAGCTCCTCATTTACACCGTCTTGCTGAAGACAACTCTCCTTGCTTTCACAAATGCCTCTGCAGTAGTTTTAGAAGATGAAGAGAATGCTAAAGAAGCAAAAGTTACGGAGACTTGTCCTATAAAGCTCAAAACTAATCGGAAATGTGATGAAGGAGAGGATTGTCCTTATCAGATAAATCTGCCTCCGATGACCATCCAGTTACCCAGAGAATTCAGACTGCTTGAGAAGACTCTCAAAGAAGTACAGAGCCTTAAAGAAGCAGTAAACAAGCTGAAGAAATGCTGCCAAGATTGCAAGCTGCAGGCAGATGACAACCAAGAAAGAGACAGTAGTAATGAATTGCTGCTACCTAATGCAGAAACTTCAGCAGCAAACAGTGAAATCCAAGATAACAGAGTAAAGGAACTGCAAAGCAAAGTTAACAGAATGGCAACCAGCTTAAAAAATGCAAAGAGTCAGATTCAGACACTGCAGGGTCGTTTAGAGAGGTTGAGCCTCATAAATATGAACAATGTAGAACATTATGTTGACAGCAAGGTTGCAAATTTAACGTTTGCTGTGAACAACCTGGATAACAAATGTTCTTCTAAGTGTCCAGCAATGCAACCAAGACCTGGTATGTAATCTGTTCATTTTTACTGCCTGTAAAAGCTTTCTATAATTTGCCTTTTACTAATATTAGGTAACCAATTTAAAATATATTTTAACCAAATAGCTGTGCTATTAACTTCACAAGTATCTGCTCTTTTAGTGTTTATACTCCTGTAAAACATTTCAGCAGCCGCTAGAGGGTTACTGAGAGCTGCAGGTGTTCAGTCCCTCCTAGAATTGGACTTAATTAAGAATCTAAACCAATAATTTTTTAAGGACAATTTTTTGCAATTCAATTAGTAAATGTGAAAAATCAACATTATTATACGCCATAAGACCCTTCATTAAAGATATTAAACATCAGTGAACTACACATATTTTCCTCTTGAATTAGAAGGGGTAAAATGAATCTATTAAAATATTTAGTTTTTAACAGATGGATAACAATATAATTTTTTAATCATCACAGCAAACATTTGAAAGGCCCAGCTAAAAAAGCTCATTAACAGTATTTCTTGACTAACAGATATGCCATCATTTTAATACCTAATCCTTTGCATTAATTTAATATATAAGCAATATAAAACAGAAAGAGGTGTTATCAGTGACAAACACTTTTTTCTTTTACTTTTTAATTGTTCTAATAAAATCACGAAATAGAACCAATAATTTCTTTCTGATGTTGACTGTTACTGAGGCAAGATCAAGGGTTTTTGTAAAGTCATAAAGTTTTTATATCTATGTAAAAATCTTTGAAAACAGGAAATGTTCAGTAGGTTGTCAGTGTATTCTACCACTTAGATATCAAAGATATGAAGATAAGGCTCTCCAGAGACAAAACAGAGACAGATCAGGCTGCATTACACTATTTAAGCCCCTGTTGCTTAGAATTCAAGTTTAAAATAAAACTGTTCTTCTGTCTACCCATATTGAAAATAGAAGAATCTCCAGATGGTTCAGAAAATAAGTTATAATAAAGGTAATGCTTTTACTATATCAACAATCAGCTTAAATCAGATAAAAATCAGAGTTAAAATCAATTACTTTAATTCAGATATAAAACATTTACAAAAAGAATGAGTGATTTTTTTTTTTGTTATATTGATAATGGGCAATGAATCACATTCAAGTACAGTAGTTCATAACAGACTAAATAATTTTACATATTCCTTACACTTACTGAAATGTTGAGAAGTGTTCACAGCATATGATCATGTAGATATTTCTTATATTTTACAGCAACAGCTAAAAGCTCTTCTAGCAGCAATATATTCATTGTGAAAACTAGCAAGGACAACAGCTACAACGTTTTTCCTATGTAGGACCTATTCCTGAATCCACTGAAACAAAGAGTAAAACTTTATTTAAATAGGACTTGAATTGGATTATACAAGAACTTTTTACCTGAAAAGTATATTCTCTGTCAGTATCTGGGCTGAAACTCAGTCCACCAAAGATCTGACACAAAATTCAATGAAATAAATGAGAAAGTATTGTGGATTTAGATTTGGCTATTAAGCCTTTAATTCCTTTTTTTGAAACTTTCTGGTTTCAAAAATTTCCAGTTTGCTGGCAAACAAGAAGTCCTGGGTTTTATTCCCTGCTTCAGAATGAGAACACTCCTCCCTTTCAAGAAATAGATTAATTGTTTGAATATTCCAGGAAAATTACAATCCAAGCCTGCAAATGAACATGCCCATAAATTCAAATCTGCAATAGGAATGAACATTATGGTTTTGATTCTTAACTCAGAACTTCTGAGAGCTCTCTTATCACTTAAGAACACGGCATTCTAATATCATGCTGTTGAATGGAATCACATTACTGGGTGACACTGTGGATCAAAAATGGACTTCCAGTCTGAAGGAAAAGTCTGGGGTTATTCTTGTTCTAAATAAAATACATCATGCACTGGTGAAAAAAGCTGTGTTAATAGCAGATGCTAACACTCTTCCTTTCTGTAAAGCCAGCAATGCCACATACACAGGAAGGCATCATCACTGTTCCAGCTTCATCTTTCTAGGAATCACATGATTACTACAATAGATGGGACAACTTTATTACTTTTTTCCTGCTTCCTAAAGTACAGTCAACATTAACACACGAAACATTCCTAAGGATGTTATGTTCTCTATCAGATGATGTTAACTGAACAACAGCCAGGGTAACATCATTGCCATGTGGACATAGTTCTTTCTCTGACACACTGCCAGATAATTATAGACAGGGTGTGATTGTATACTTTTAAACATAAAAAGCAGCAAGTATGTAACCACAGAGCATTAGAAATATGGACAGGAGGTAATAAAAGGCTAAAGAGTAGAGAAAAGGAATAAAGGGCAAGCACACTACCAAAATGCCCTTAATATTTGGCAAGTTGTTACAAAAAGTCATTTAAATGGGGTTTTTTGGACAGCTGGACAGATGATCCTAGGTGGCATCTATTAGAGAGCAAAGCTGATGGAAAAAATTTGTTTCTCTTTAGAACTGAAATTGCTGCAATACTATTATGTTCATCCTAACACGGTCTCTTCTTCCACCAGTTATACAAATAATGCAGAGAGACTGTGCTGACCATTACGCAGCAGGCAGAAGGAGTAACGGAATCTACAGGATTAGTCCTGACCCCAGAAACGAGAGCTTTGAAGTTTACTGTGACATGCAAACAAATGGAGGTGGCTGGACAGTGCTGCAGCGGCGTCAGGATGGCAGCACTAACTTCAACAGAACCTGGAATGACTACAAAAATGGCTTTGGAAACCTCAGCAGGGAGTTTTGGCTGGGGAATGACAAAATTCACCTCCTGACAAAGAGCCAGGAGATGCAACTGCGAATTGATCTCGAAGACTTCAATGGAATCCGAGAGTACGCGAAATACGAACACTTCTACGTGGCCAACGAGTACCTGAAGTACCGCCTAAGCGTTCACGGCTACAGCGGCACAGCAGGAGATGCCCTTCACTACAGCAAACATTACAACCACGACCAAAAGTTCTTCACAACTCCAGACAGGGACAATGACAGGTATCCTTCAGGAAACTGTGGCGCCTACTACAGCTCTGGCTGGTGGTTTGACGCGTGCTTGTCGGCCAACCTCAATGGCAAGTACTACCACAAGAAATACAAAGGGGTTCGCAACGGCATCTTCTGGGGTACGTGGCATGGTGTTTCTGATGATATTCCCACTGGATATAGGCAAGCCTTTAAATCAGCAAAAATCATGATCAGACCCAAAAGTTTTGTGCAGTGATTTTTGTGAGGTTACATTTCTCTTCACTAGTTTGCGTTGGATTGCACTCAACAACATACTTACTCAGTATTATACTCAGAATTCAAGTATTCAGTTATGTTTGGCATAAAATTGTTCTAGACAAAGCAACATACTTCCACATAATTTTTTAGAGACAGTTTGACCCATATAATGTATTAAAACCAGCATGAAAGTATCTGAATAGTTACTGCTAAAATTTAACACCGATTAAGTCTTGATATCATTATGTAAATATTCTAAACATTGCTTTTGGAGCTTTTACTGACTGTGATATATCACATTCTATGGCTGAAAACTTAAAATGGTCTTCCATAAATTGTGTCTGAATGGATACCTATATTTTAACCTGAACACAATTCATAGGTGTAATTAATAACATATAAATGTGTCAACACTTAGAATAAAAACTAGTCTCTCTGGAACAGCCCGACTTTTTCTATGATCTATCCTTTACAACTTCAAAGGTATACCATGGCAATATCAATATAAATTAGGAAAAGAACTACAAATTATTATTTTTAAATGACTAGAAAAACAGAGGGCCACATAGTTTGCCCAAAGATATGAAAAAAGGCCTTGGAGAAAACTTAGGAAATGAAGATGATTCCTCAAATCTCATTCTCTTTTATCAAAGCTTTTTCAAAGAAGTTGGTGGAAGAATTGAATAAAAGCAGTGAAAATAATTATAGAATCAGAGAATCATTTAATTTGGAAAAGATCTTTAAGATCATCAAGTCCAACTGTTAATATAGAACTCCCCATTTTTAGAGTACCCCTTTCGTAGCCGCAGAAACCCAAAAACCCACTGGCAATTCTAAGCAAAAAACGAGAATATGCAATGTAAGACTTTTTTTTCTAAAACGTAAAAAAAGAAAAAATCAAATTGACAAATATTTCAGGAGTTGCAAACAGAGATACTGTTATTCAAGCTCACACTGTGGACAGTGAGCACAAATTTGACTCAGTGTATCTAGGTCATGTCTCTATAAATACAGTGACCAACATTCTGAGTGGAGATGGAATTCATCTTAGCAAGAGGTTACTCTACCATCTTGCTTAAACCAATCTTGAGATGCAGAAAAACTACACCAAGACTGTATTTCTTTATTAGTTAAAGTGTGGTCATTGACTTCTTGGTTAAAAGAGACATTAAAAAAAAAAGGAATATAAGTATACACGAAATATAACTATACATCTGACCTAATACTTTACAAATATGATCTTTACTGGTTTTTTAAGATTATAACAAAATTATTATGGTTATAATTTATGTAAATTAAGAACACTGGCAATTGCTAAATTGTAAAATACTAATATATATTTTAAAGCAGTAAATACTTTGAAGGATAATTCAAGTGTAATTTGGTTTATTATATTTCAATTTTAAAGAGGAATGAAATTGCAAGATGTATAATCTTTGCTTCAGAATATGTTTTGAATCTATAGAATATTTATTTTAGGATAAAAAATAATTTTCTAAACAAAACAAAAAAAAGCAACTGGTTAAAAGAGCAAATATCTAGTTGCATATTACTATATTTAATCATTTTGCATTAAATGCACAATTTGTTCCCATTCATTATATGGTAACCAGCTAAGTATGACTTCCAGTATCTACAAGCTTCTACTTGAAAATGTCTTTTTCCTGCTAAGTTGTTAGAAATTATTCTTTTTTAATCTCGTTTGAAGAAAACTTCATAAGACACAGAATTTTTAACAGAATAAGCAAATGTGACTAATAGCAGCTGCAAAAGCCTTGTCTGATGTCTTTAAAAAAAAGAAAGGAAAAAGGAAGTGTAATTGCACAGATTTGAATATTACCTGCCTGGAACTGTTGTAGATGAACCTCTGTCAATGTGTATTGGTTTTACAAAATGTTACTCCATCTGCTTGTTGAAAACATTATTTTTGTTCTTCTTTGGTGTAATAAAATTATGTCACACTGTTAAAGCTGTACTATTGTCATAGATGTACAGGGGAACTATACAAAAAACTTGTCATAAACAGTTTTATTGATTCTCTGTAAAAATTGAAGCAATAAGAAAACACACACAACCAGCGGATGCCTATGTGATGTGCCAGGAGAGTAATTGCTAATAAGGATAGCTCCTTAGAGATCTGGTTTATGACACTTCAGCTGCCAGATAATAACAAAGGCTGAAATCTCAGACATTTTTCTGAAACTACTCATACTTTGGAAGCAAGAAAAGCAATTGCCCAATCAAGGTTTTACACAAATTCTATCTTTAACATGAAAGAGAAGAAGCAAACTAATCTGTTTTGACCTTTCAGATCACATGCAAGTAATATCAAAGCATGTGAATATAAATATTACCCCAAAGTACATAATTTTTTATACAAGCAAAAAGCACTTGGTCTCTGACTAAGGCTTAATAATTCAAACCATATATTTCATTTTATGAAAAATAGGTAACACTGATTATCACACAAAAACACTTGTGGTTTTAATCTTGTTAATATTTAAATTGTGAATTTTAGAGAAAAAGATTACTAACAGTGGGTTTGCTAGCAAAATTCCTATGGGTTGTTTCCAAAAAATAAAGACACAAACCCATCTGTTCAATGTGATCAGCCAAGCAGACTGTAATATCTTGGCTTTCTATGCATTGCTTAAACAAAACCAAAGGAAAAAAAAAAAAAAACAGAGAAGAAATGAAGATTTGAAAGCAGTGATGCGATGTTTTTCCCTTTCCTTTTTAAAGCAAATACCTGTTTCCCTGATGGCGTTCATTGGGAAAGACTGCAGTCAAACTCAGAGCTGAGAACAGATAGCTTGATGAATTGGAGGAAAACAAACTTGCTTTTATTGATTATTTGGAAAACAAATTAAGATGGTCCTTAATCTATACCTACACCCCTGTTTATAAATTAAACCAAAACCAAACAAAAGAAACAAATGCCAAATTTACTTAACTTCTATGACTTACATGTTGTAGAAAAATCAAAATAGGAAGGATTGACTTTGAGTTTTCATAGAGAAAAAAAAAGATGAGAAAATAAATAAATACTGGCCTTTAAAGGAAGAGGACCTAAAAATATATATAAAAAAATTGTTCTGTGTTCCTTTTTGTTCAGGAAATAAGAGAAAATGGAACACATGGGCCTGAAGACATTCACATAAGTTTCAGAGAAAAATGACTGGGCAATACCATCCACAGGCCCTACTAAACACAAACATTTCACTTAATAAACTGATCTCTTTCATTCACAGCTTTAATTAAACTTCTATGGAGTTACAGTTCTTCTGCCAGAAGTTAATTTGGCTGTCACCCTCAATGGTAACCAGAAACAGAAAACAGTGTTTTAAGAGGATGTGTCAAATCCAAGCCTCACACAAGTCATGAGAACAGGGTATGAATCAACATTATTTTTCAAGTCTTGTTCATCAGATTTTTCTGATCTTAGTAAAAGAAGAACCTATTTAGAAACTAGTAATTGGAAAAAATATCCCCAAATATTTAATTATATTCAAACATTCAAGACAAACTGTAAGTTTAATTAAGATTACATTTCTACAGGAATAGTATGCCTTCATTTAGAATTACACAGTAGAAAATAATTGCAGGCTTTACACACAGTTAAGCAATTACATAGAGATAATGATTTTTATTAAGAAGTAGGATTCACTTTGAGAAACAGAAATTGTCATACCTTTCTTCAGGTAGAGTGCAAAACCCCCTCTGCTTCACTCTGCAGTTCAACCTCCATATGCTAAATCCAAATATAAGGATTCTTCCCCATGCAGAGCTTTAGACCCTATTCATTTAGGAGTATTTGGGCACAGGTGTTTTTGAGTAAGTAAATCAGAAAATCCCTTTTTAACCTTTAAAGTAACCTCATCTGTGTAACAGATGATTCTCCACCCCTGAGCATTTTTACTGAATGTATGGTTGGTTAACATTGCTCTGGCTTCCTCATCACATGGCTTTGCTGACATACAAAGTCTCGACTCAATTTTAGTACAAGATTGCCCTGTCTCATGCATGTATTTTGGATGAGAAAGCATGAAGAGGGAGATAGCTTTGAAAACAACATGCTTGTCTTGTCAAGTCTCAAAAGTATCGGAAAAGATTTAGAAAAGATTAAAATCCAAGATGTTGTTACTGTCAAAGGTTATTCCTTCTCCTACTCTCACAGCTTTAGGGAGCTGTTGTTCCTCTGTGTGGCATGAAATCTGCATTTGACTTTATAACAGCATAGAAGAGAAAGGACACCATAAATGCTTTCCAACAGGCTTTTCAGAAATGAAGAGAAACACCACTAGCTTTGTGATAGTTTGAACACATCCAACAGCTTCCTGGCCTTGCTCCCACACAATGTCAGCTGCTAGTGGTGAAAAGAACCTCTCAGTAGAAAGAGCACATTACATTATCTCTGTTCTCATTCCTGCTGTTTGAAGGCACCTGTAACTCACCTCACTGCTCTACAGCTTTTTTTAGAACCATCAGCTTTCCTATCACAACCGCCAATTGCTTTAACATCCACTTGGTAAACTATTGCTTACTTGCTGGAAGCTGTTGCAAAAAACCACACTTTAGCTTACAGTCAAATTATGATCTCTAACTGACTTCCCAAGTGAGCATATCAACAAAGTTTAAAAAGGTTTATTTAATTAGCAGTCAGATTCCTGTGGGTGGAGGCAGAGACAACATCTGCCTTAGCTGTCTGTGCCAACACATTTATAGGCTTTTTTGTTGTGCCAGGAGCCTTTGAAGCATTTAATGTGGAGTGTGCCAGGATCAGCTTAAGTCTGAAAATGTTGTTTGCATTCAACAGCTGTGTTAGGATTTTTACATCTTTGACAGAGCACATACATGTTTGGAGAGTACTGAAACAAATTATCCACTGCTATGGTTACTATGCAAAAATATGCTGATGATCATACTTTACAATAGCAAAAAGTACAGGGGAAAAGAAATTAAATTGGTGCTCATGTTAAAAAAAATAATTATATCCCAGTATCACAAGGTAGCTTTTCTAGGATTAAAGATGTATGGACTTTTTTTAAACAGGACAGTTGTTTACACCTACCATTTAATCTAAGTTAGGAGAGAATTAAAAACCAGTTTGATAGCAAAAAAAAAAATTGGAAAAGACTGTATTTTCTTAAGTGGGGCTGTTGGATATCATTATGCCACTAAAGAAATATATGAAATAGTGACCCTTAGCATTTAGATTTGAAAGCTGTAGCCAACCTTTATGCAACTTTCTCTTCTTTCCTGCAGCACAGGTGAGAAAAAAGTGAAAAATGAGAGGTATCTTTCTCCCCTTAAACCACATCCAAACACTGAATATATGTACCATTCTACAACTTTAAAGCTCTTCCAGCTAGAGGATTGAAGTGAATTAGTATCAGATAAGCAGCAGCAAAATGATTCTTTGTCCTGATACTATTATTGATTTGTTGGTAGACATGGAGATTTTGCTCTATGTTTCCAGTAGAATCAGGATTTTGGTTAACATCTTCATTAGCAGTTCAACCACTTTTGGCAGTCAGGGGTAGTAAGTTCATTAATCTCAGAAACTCTCCGAGTTTCAAAACAGCAATGAAAAATATTCATGAAAGGTTCTTTCTGCTTCCTGGTGGATGATGGCAATAGGACACTTGGACATCAGCAAACAGGAATGTAGCATGATGGTGACAATTTCCATCAAAAAAGCAGCACAAATTAAATACTTGGTGCTGGTATCAGACAGGGGGCACTGGCCATTTTATCTTTATAGGATACAGAATACAAGATTTTGCAATAGAGCAATCAGGAAAATCTCCCAAAGGAGTTTATTCTTCTGCAGGTTTAGATTTAGCACATAAAGGGATGATGTTCAATAGCAGAAAGGGATGATTGTGATTCTTCCAAACAGGTACTCACTCACTGAATCTGGTGAATAGGAAAGCACTTTCTATTCACATGTATGCTATTTTACAGAATTAATAGCTGCTTCAGAGCATCCACTGCAAAGACATGCAAGATAAATGTTGCAGACTCACTTTTCTGGTATGGTTTTAAAAATGGAGGTGTACATTTGACTGAACTGTCTTTCTAGCCCAAGAAGATACCAAAAAAAGGAAGAGAAAGAAAAAGCATGTGACATCACCTTGGGTAAAAAGACCTCAGACTGGGAGAAGAAACCCATCATTTGATTTCCTCCATTTTGTTTGTTGGTTGGTTGGTTGGTTGGTTTGGTTTGGTTTCTCAGAAAAAAAGAGCTTGTACCTAACATTAATAATCAGAATTAACTAAACAGAATTAAGGAATACTATGCTGCATTTCTCCTTTTAACTGAAAGAACCCGTAGAGTACTAGTTTTTCCATCTTTTGAATCAAAAAGATGAACCAGTAGATTTTGCCATCAATTCTTAAGATTTATTAAATCTTAGAAATTTTGCAAAAATCAAAAGGATGGAAAACTGTTCCTGGAGCATAGCTGGCTATGATTCATTGTCAAATTGGCAAGATGTGTACACTAAGGGTTTTTTCTGTGTCTAGGATTGTGAATTGGGTAACAAAACAAAAATTAAGCAACAGAAGAGAATTTGAAGACTCAAACAGACTACAAACTAAACATCAACAGCATCATTATGACAACAGATATTTTATTTATTCATGTTCCCATTAAAACTGGATCAGGTGGAGGAAAGGAGAGCATAACTTAAATGTCCAGAGTGAAAAAAATGTTACTATGCAGTACAGAGAAGGGCAAAAATTACAGGGACAAAAATTAGGAGAATGGGCAGGAAGCAATTTGTTAATTGGTCCTTTTTATTTTCATTCTGCCTTATCTTGTAATTTTGAGCATTTAATCAAATTTTGTGTCATGTTCTGTTGCTTCTACTCAAGTGAAAATTTCAGTTTAATTGCTGCTTTAGCAGTAATGGCAGTAAAGAGGATGAAATAAGGATAAAGGAAGACATTAAATGTATTATATTACCATCTCTTGCAAAAAAGTCATAAATTTGCAGGCAAAAGATGAGAATAAATTCAGACTGTTTTGTCTGAAGCTAACAGCTAGTAAAATACTCATTTAATAAAATTAATGGGTCTTGAAATTTAGATAATGTACACGAAAAAAATCAACACTTTTTTTTACTGCCTTTTAGGAGGTCTGTAGTGCATTAAAATAAAAAACACGATGCAGATTGATTTCATTCCAACACTGGAAGAAAACACGATACAAGGAAAGATTCACAAGTCAAAAAATTCTATTAATCGAGTGTTAAAGCAAATGTCTTTATTTCAAGGACATAACAACAGAGGCTCAAAGAAGTGGAAAGTCCGTTTTGTAGATGTATGGGAGTCCTCTAACCACCAGAATAGGTTGATGTCAACTTGGTGATAAAGAAAAACACTTGGTGAAAAGAAGCAACACTTGGTGAAAAAGAAGCAAGTCATAACGAACTGAGTGGCTTTTGTTCAAACCTCTGTTGTTTTTAATATTGTTACTTAACCCGCAAGGCTAAAAAATGCTACTATGTGTTATTAAAAATGCAGGAGAGAGAGTGTGCAGGTTTAATTTCTTGCTCTTTATGTGTTTGAATATCTGCTGTTTACATAATAAAGCCAAGACTGGCTTCACTGGAAGAGAGTTCTCAAATAAATCTTCTAATGACAAAAGTGTCCCTTCTGATAAGCATATTCTGCTCTGCAGGCATAAATGACTAGTCAGTAAAACTGAGACAATATGATACTATTCTTCTTCTGTGGAAAAATTCTGAAAGCTCTTCCAAGAAGGTGAAGCCAGAGTCAACGCAACAACCTCTATGGTGACCAAAGTAATATATTTATCCCTGAATTACGTATAGAGTTCAACAAAGGAAAATAAACACGTCAGTGGAAGAGAGGAAATGTGAATAAGTGATGAAAAGCCAAACTCATCCGTAAAGCACAAGTATGAACTGTTAAAAATTAGGGTAATACGAATAAATGAGTCATAGTTCCCTTTTAAAAAATGGACAAAATTACTGAAAGACCTCATTTATGAAATATTATGCATATTGCTACTTTAGTTTTCCACAGCATGTTTTTGTTCCTGAGTTCAAACATCTAATATTGTTACCTCATATTTCCCATTAATGGTTTACAATGTTATCAGAGCTAAACAAGTTACCCTTAAATTTGATGTGCAGAATAATCTCTTTGGAAAGATTTTTTTGGGAGAAAAAAGTGGCCCAAACAGTCCAATAATTTAATAGAATAACTCTAGAAAAATAAGTTTTCACCGTGACTAAAAATGAAGAAAACAAAGCAGAAAGGTAGAATACACTTTAGAAGGGACCAGGGGTAGGGTGGAGGGAGGGGCAGGTAAAGATATCTTGTATTAGGCATATGCTTCTTCTCAATGTCACAAACCTTCAACCACAGCTGAAAATCTATAGAAAAATTATGGGAGTAGCTGGAGAATTAAGTGCTCCCCAAAGTGCAATTTCCATACTTTCAGTAGACACGAGGATTTCTGTGAGGTGAGAGGTCAGCTCTCTTGAGAGTTGAGCTGTCCTGGACTTTTGCAACTGCCTTGGACTGAGAAGAAAGGGAGGTTGTGCTGCAACAACACTGGAAGCCAAATTGCTGGAAGCTGTGGGCTTACCATTTACTGGCACTGGGCTGAAAGCAAAGATCTCCATGCCTCTCAAATGCACAAGGGATTAGGGAGAGACAGACTGTGCAGCCTCATGTTATGTTCAGTATGATCTGATGGCAGGATGGGCAAGGCCAGTCCTATTTTCCCCTTCACTGCAAATTCTCAGCCCTTCCTTTCTACTGACCTTGGGTCATACACAGTGAGAGAGAGCTGGGCTAGCAAACTGATCTGGCAGATCCCAGCTGGAAAGACCCCAAGGTAAAGCAACTTTTAGTAAGAACTTTGAGAATTAATCCTGCTAAGGATACAAGAGAGATGTACTTGTTTAATATAAAGAAGGTAGAAATTGACTGCTCTCCATCATCACTGTGGGAAAGAAAGAAGAAAGCTGCATTATTCACTCCAAAGGAAAGTTAAACTGGGATTTAGGGAAAACATCTTTATTTTTTAAAACTCTGGCAATGGTGAAATGCTGGAAAAGGATACACAAAGAGCCATCTCCATCAATTAAACTTTTAAAGAACAAATTAGACAACTATGTGCAGAGAATCTACTTCGGTGTAAATTTTGGATTAGATATCTCTTAATGACTGCTCTGGCATTACACTTCTAAGGATTTAATTTCATATGTATTTGATATCTCAACTTCTAAAATAATTCTATTATTCTGAAAATTTCCTTAACACAGAAAATCCTACAAAAGAAACTGAGCTCCAAAAGGTTTCCTGTATTAGCATCAGTTACTTGTGCCTCAGGAGGCACTTAACTGGGATTTTTTCAGCAGCTATGAAGCCTTTCTACAAATCATGATGCAATTACCTCTATAGTTAGAATATTACAAGACCCAGAACAAGACCTCTCTATTCTTATTTTCTTTAAGGTCCTGACCACTGGAAAAAATAACATGATTATCTATTAAGCACAGCATCCCTGACAAGGATATGCATTATGCATGTTAGTGCTTCACAAAATTTTGTTACCACTTAGAAAAAAAATCAGAGAAGATGGGGGGAAGCTGTAGATAGTCTATGGTAATAACCTTCAATTGTTAACAACAAAATATACGCTTCAGATTAATAAATTTGGACCCAGTGTGCACTGTTACAGACAGAGAAAGCTGGGGCACATGGTACCTCATCTAAACACTGAAATGCAGGACTCGCTGTTACGTCGGTGGATCCTTCGTCTCGGTTGTAAATTGTTGGAGTCAATTGTTGCTCGTTCTCAGTTGCACTGGAACTTTCTTCACCAGCTTGACTCATTGTTTTAAGTTCTAGGAAGTAACAAAAATACCAAAACACAGTTTATTAGATCCAGGGATAGACATGACTGTGCAAGATAAATGTGTAGTGAAAAAAACACATCAAGGTGTGAGACCCACATTCAAACAGCACAAGTCACAATGTGAGCAACCTGGGTAAGCCTCCAGTTACAACTTCATGAAAGACTTATAAGAGGATGCACTATCTGTCATTCTTTTGGGTATTTTTAAAATCCTCTAATAGTTGGCTATGCTACCATCACATAAAATGTTAGACAACGTGCAAACCAATATTTTTTAAAGAACACATACTTAATAACAGGTTTAGGCTGGAAAAGGCCTCTGGGGTCACCTAGTCCAATCTCCTGCTCAAAGCAGGGCTAACTTCACAACTACACTGACCTGCTTAGGGCTTTGACCAGCCTTGTTTGAAACTCTGTTACATGGGGCAGTCCAGCCATTGCCCTCAGGCTGGTCTTTATACAAAAAATCTCCAAGTGCTATGAACTTTGTGTTTTCCATAAAACTAATTCAGGGATGTGTTTCCCCTTTTCTTCACTCAATTCAAGCCCAATCTTCAGTGTCCCTTCACCTGGTAGGGAGTAATTACATTCAAAAGGAACCACTTCACAAAACATGGAGATCTTCAGGACAAGAACTGCTCTAACTTGTGTGAGTAATATCATCAAAGTTATTCATGTCTGTAAGTCATTTCATGGCCATACTTAAACACAAAAACCAAACTCATCAAATAAACCCAGAAACCATACAAAATGGGAAAACAGGATATAAAATCTGAGAATAGGAGACAGAAAAATACTGGAAAAATAATTATTTTGAGACCTCCTAATGTCAGAGCTCCTATGCAGTACTAACATTTCAGTTATGTACCAGCTTACATTTTCAATATGTGACCTCAGTTAAAATAATATGACCCTGAAAAATATCCAAGTGAGCTAATTCAAGAGTAATAATAAAACTCACAGGATTTAAGCTGTATTTTGATCCCTAGTAAGTGTGGGAATAACTTTTTTTCTTACCCAAAAGAAGGAGCTTAAAAAGAAGCTAAAAGTCAAATTTCAAAACCATAGCTCGGTATAAGCTTTACCCTGAAAAAGCTCTTTTTTCAAATTAGATAAACACAGTCTTTTAATAAATACATAGAGAGAGAGAAAAGAACGCTGGAACAAGTAGGGTTATCGGAAAAGATAATTTCCCTACATTTATATTTGAGAAAATCCCATGTTCACAGTTCTGATTTAGGAACAGAAATTTCTAAGAGACTTGCACTAGGAACAGTTATATCAAAGACATTTGCTAATTGCTTCTGAGCAAGATGAGACCTAATGCCATAAAATTACTACAGTTTCATGTAACTTCACTTTGTGCTTACACTTTGTGTAAACACTCAAGTCCAGCACTTGAGAATTATGTTCCCAGGCATTTGTCATCAGAACTCGCTGGGGTGTGTGAAAATGCTGAGATGGAAGAGGGAAATGGGATGTGAAATACAAGGGGATACAATGCTCCTGGTACCCTGCTAAGGCAGTGATGTCTATCAGGTTGGTACTCATCACTATATCAAATGTCAATTAATAGCTGACAAACCCATCTCTGGCATAACAGTATCTTAAGAGTTTTGTATTCAGAGGGTTTAAAATTACCAACCTTTTGCATGGAGCAGCATGAAGGAAGACAAAACATTTTAGGACCAAGATATGAGAGATATGGGATGACCTACAAGAGAGCCTACAAGCATCTTGCAGAGGGAAGAGAGGGGAAGACAGACTTCTGAGGCACTCAGAAATGTTGTCATGACACAGTGAGATGGGGGCCCCGAGCATTTGTAGAGCAAATCATAATGCTAGAGAGAGATGGAGTGTAGATGGAGGAATTCAAGAATTCCTTCAAGAGTTCACTGAAGTTGTCTGCAGGTGACAGGAATTGACAAATCAGTATCACGGCATTTTAGTTCAAACTTTGGGAGAAAGACCGACAACTTCTGCAAATGTTCATGTGACACCAGTAGGTCTTTCTAGGCTAATTATTATGCAGGGTAATCATTATGCAGAGAACATTGTACTGTGCTGTGGGACAAAATCATTATAAAACCCATATCAGCTGCTAAAGATGCAGAACTCACTTCAAATTATTCAGTCTTGACATCATTCAGCCTTTCACATAACACATGGGAGACCTTTCTCCTTTTTACAAGAGAGCTTTTTATTATAAATCAGAATTAAAACTCTAACAAAATGAAGAAAAAATTTTGAGATTATTTCAGTAGTATATACCATATTTCTCCAATGAAACAGCTGGAGCAATTTGCATTCCACAGCCAGAAAGCTAACAGTTAAGAAAAACATAATTTCTTTTTATAACTGTGGTGGGAAAATGGATACAAATATGTTGTGTTGTTTGTATTCACCTTTTGAAAAGTCACTTGTCTGTAAAGGTAGTGAAGCTTAAACTGAGAAGTTTATGGCTTTCTTCAGTGCTGTTTGGAATTCCTTCAGGGACATTTTGACTTTTAGAGAGATTTCAGTGTCTGTATTTGCTTATGGAAAAAAAAGCAATTCCGTGATCCCTCCAGGAGGAGTCAAAACATTGTGAAATAACTGTAAACATCATAGGGGCCAAGAAATAAACTCTGATTACTGTACATAAACATCTATATACATTTATAAACAGAGAGCAATTTTCATCTATAAATAACTGTTGAATATTTTAGCATATGCATCTCATATTTATGGCTGCTGCTGCTTTATTTGTTCCTCTGAACATACTGGAAGAATTTAGACAGAGGGAAAACCACTGTGGCAGAAACTCCAAGCAGAACAATGCCAAAATCGGAGAGTTTTATGGGTGTAGGCACTTTTGTCAATATTTGTATGTGAAACACACAGTTGACACCAGTCAAAAATATACTTCCTCGCAGAGCGCAGGAGTAAAAAAGGGTCCTCACCAAGACTCCAGTTTGCTGAGCAGGGAGAGAACAAAAAAAAAAATCTTCTGAATCTGAAGAGTCTATGATATTATATTAAGACACAACTATAGATAGCTGAGACAGAGAAAAACCATTAGACAGCCTTAGCTAGCGTGACAAGCCCTTGTCTCCACTCTGTTTTAAGAAGGGACAGACTGTAACAAAACGTGTATGTTTATAGGACATTAAAATAAGTTTAGCATTCTCCCATTACCTGCTGCATAATTAAATTTAAAATTCAGCTTGTACAAAATCAGATTTATAAAGTTCAAAAAGTAAAGTGGAAAAGGTGTACATTTGTAGCATCTGATAAATAAACTGTCAAATGGAAATAGAAATGAAAACTGGCATGATTTCTAACTTTACAGAAAAGTTCAACAAATATGGATGTTTTCAAACTGCAGAACTGCAAATAATATCACAACCTTGATCCAAGATACAGAATTGCAGAGAATGGGAATTGCAAGCCTGTTTTGGAACCTGGGTCAAGTCAGGCTGAGAATTGTCTTGTGAAAGTTTCAGGACAGCAATAATAAAAGTGTGAGCTCAGATTCCCCAAGCTAATTTCAGCATCTTTCCTTAAGCAAACAGCAATGTCCACACACAAGTCACTGCAGAATCCAGGTAGGTGACACTGTGCTGCATTGACTCCAGAGTGACAGATGCAAAAAGTAGTACAATTTGATTCTGAGCATAAAGAGGTGCAGTTCCATGTATGAATGCACGAACCAGACTAATTTAGAAGACACAAAATTTGTAAAACTCTCTGTTGAGGGAAGTACATTTCAAGTAACTGATTACATTAATATATACTGATGAACCCCTTTAAACTTTATTTTAATCCCTTGCATTTATAGAGTTAAAAGCATAGAATCATTTAGTTTGGAAAAGATCCTTAAGATCATCGAGTCCAACTGTTAACCCTGCACTGCCAAGTCCATCGCTAAACCATGTCTTTAAGTGCCACACCTACACATAATTTGGATACCTCCAGGGGTGGTGAGTCAACTACTTCCCTGGGAATTCTGTTCCAATTCCAGTGAAGAAATTTTTCCTCATATTCAATCTAAACCTCAGGATATTTATGTACCTCTTCATGCTACCTCCGTTTGTACATAAATATTGAAAAATAAAAGTCACCCTGAAAGACAATTGACGTAGCATTTCACATTAGTTACAGAAATTCTGTAATGCAGTTGGAACATAGGAACGGTGATATCAGACCAGAAGCTGATCTGGATCTCCACAGAGATTGCAACCAACACTGGATGCCTGGGGAGGGATAGAAGTATCCACCAGTCATGGTGTGGTGATGCTTCCCCGAACCCATCTCCTTTGTCCTTAACTCATGCAAACTTTCAGTTATTGGCAAAACCAAGTGGAAGGGAGATTTTGATTTTACCTCTGCATGACATGAGTAACCAGTGCTTCTTGTTGCTTTTGAATATGGCTCCTTGATGGCTCCTAGTTCTTCTACTGGATGAGCGACTGAATAATCAGAACTTTTCTATGGCATTAGGTTTATTTCTAATGTTGTATCTTTATTTGACAGTTTAGGCTGAAGCAGTCAATCTACCTGTTGTCACTGGCATGATAGCCCTTCTCTGCCTTCTATGTCTTTATCATCCTTCTCCAAAATTTTTCCAGTTCTACCATATCCTCTTCAAGGAGAAGGGAAGAGATGAGACCTACAGATAATAATTATAACATAGGAGTACTATAGATTTATTCAACCACACAGTGATCTTCTTTTCATCCCCTAATATTTTATTTTCTAATGTTTCTTTCCAGAAGTTAAAGCAGCAGATCTTCAGTTTTAACTGGGCAGAGCCTGTGCTTCAGCATGAAGGGATGTGTCTTTAAATGACAAAGCCACGCCAATATTAAATTATAATTAAAATTAAAGTCACATCATGTACAATACAATGTTGTAATACACATGTAAATCAGAATGGATTGTTTGATCAGACTGTGCAAGCTCATAGACAGCTATCTGGGGAAGTGAGAGCATGCTGTGTACCTGTACTGCTTAATTTTTTTTGAAAAGTTCCACTGTTTACCCTTGTTTTCAAGTCTCTGCTATGTGGGATGGAGTCACCCTGAGTCACACATAGACTTTATCTGCTGGAGTTCAAGTTAGATATGGCTAAGATGAGGAGAATCTGAATGGTAAGACCTGCCACTCCCCATTTCGCATGGCTTCCATGAGGAACTTAATCTCCTCAGAAAGTTTCTGGGAGCGTAACAAACAAAAAATCCCTGAAATCTGAACCACTCTGTTCTTTGCAATGCTACAGAACAGATGGAAAACCAAACAAAATAAGCTTTCTCTACCCATTGAACCCTAGGCATGCCTTGAGAACTAAAAAGGTTAAAGGAAAAAGTTCAGAAAAACACCACTAAAAAATACAAAACACCAATAAAGGTGGTCCTATTTTCCAAGGAAGTGAAGTCACATTATTTCTTCAATACAATTATAGCAAATGAGTAAACTTAATCCTGACCAGGCAGACTAAATTTACAACCCCTGGGTACCTGCAACAGTCTGTGATTATTCTATGATTAATTCCAAATACAAAAGTTAGAAAAATGTATTCCTTCTACAGCCTCCCTCGTAGATCCTTTCTATTAACTCCTCCTCCCTTGTAATCTTTCTTTCATTATCACCTAAAAGCACCTCTAATCATGTTTTGGCTCAAAACCTATTTTATATCACTTTATAACTTCTAGGGCTTTTTTATCTTTTGCATGAAATATTGAATATTCTTTGACTTACAACAGCACTAATATCTGGTAAAATGGCAAATAAGCATTCTAACTTGCTAAGGAATCATGGAATCATGCAGGCACCTCCAAAGTGGAGCTCTAATTACACCTTCACTTGTAAATTTGATAAAGCTTTCTTTTCTTGCAAATGACAAGTCAGAAAATCGAAGATGAAAATAATTCTCGTTGTACTGTTGGAGTGTGCTACATGCTATACCAGCTGATCCAAACAAGAGCATGAAAGTTAAGCTGAATCAATATGGCGAAAACATAGATAACATAAGTAAAACATTAAAAACATGAGGTTTCATATGTATGGAGAAAGAACTTCTTCCCAGAAAATATTTTTTATCTGATTTCTTTGTATTTTTGACCATTTAAGTATGCTTAGACCTTATCTAATGAGAAAGCCCAACACCAGCAGTGAAATACAAACACAGCTGAAGCTGAAGTGCCTTGGAATAGTCTCTTGAACAAAGTTCTCAGCTACACAAAACCTGACGGTGTTAAAGATGATGCAGAGCACAGTTTACTGTGGGTTGTGGGTGCTGACAAACCTCTGCCTACACGAGGAGAATCAAGTGCCAAGGCCCTGGAGGAGAAGGGGGCCGAGCCAAAGCAGCACTATCGTTTAAAGGGAGGCAGGAGCCAGGGATAAGGAACAGCAGCACCGGCACAGCGAGAAAGGGGGGCAGTGGTTAAGCCCAACCTAACTAGAGCAAGAATTCCCTTGGAACAGTCAGACTACAAAGTCATTTGCTGAGCTGGCATCTAGTGGAATCCCTGCACATTGCATCAGACTCCTTGTCTATAACTGTTTCCCTGACAAACTACCTATTTTAATTACCCATTCAAACTTGGTACTTAGTCTTAAGAGTGAGAATTCTGTACTGTTCTTTTTCACTCAAAATCAATTGTTTCTGAAGACTTGAAAAAAATAACTTCCACCCTCCATATGTCCCAAGATATTTCTTGATGCATTTTTGACTTTCTAGAATTCTATTTTTCTACACTAAACTATCATAAGGCAGACTGGCTCTTTTTGTGTTTCATCTAATGACTTTTTTGAGATCGAACAACGTAAACCAATTAAATAATTTAACTTAACTTTACGGGCTTTATTGACAAATATGGATCTTTATTAAACTTTCCACGGTTATAATTACCAATGGACCAAAAAGCCAGGGCCATCTTCATTTCTCTTGGACACTGAGATGTCATTTTAAGCTCATAAGTATCATGAGTAAGTATCATGATTGCATGATCATTTATGAAAAAGAAGAAAACCAATGCATGGAGTGCAAAAGGGAGGCAATAATTAAATAACACGTCATTATTTCTTGTGTTGCAATGCTGCTAAGACAATTGAGCTTACTGTGCATATTTGACCTCTGTTACTGGCAGTAAACTACGTCTATGGCATGAATGCAGCCCCTGACTGTACATCACCTGTTGCACACTTGCCCCGCCTCATTTATTTTTAATTGTTACACAATCATAATGGGGGCTATGAACTCAAAAAAAGTCCTTTAAAACTGAATTAAATGGTTCCCCACTTGTTTGTAAACCCTGTAAGGACAATTGTCTCATGTCCTATCTGTGCAGAGCTCAGGAAAATATTTGTCTGCCTGGCTTTAGAACTGCTAAAAAGCAGTAACAATAAATAATACATTAACCAAAACATACTGACAGAGAGCAACTCTGGAGCTTCGCACTACCATCTTGGAAGGAAAAAGAACTCCTGGTTTTTCAACACAGCTGCCTAACTGCTTCTTCACCGTGTGACCGAGGATATTTTAACACAGGTGGCCTCCCTGCCAGGCTGCCACTCAGAGCCCGGCCGCCTCCCGCGGTCCCACCGCTCTTATCCTGCCTCTTCCCCGCCGCTGCCAAATCCCGCGGCGCAGAGGCTGCCGAGCCGGGGAGCCGAGAGGGCTGAAAACAGATCACCATGGTTCTCCCACTGGAAACCAACTCTCGGCAGCGTCTCTTCCAGCTCGCCGCACCGTAGCCCTCACTCCCCGGGATACCTCGTGTCCCCACGCACGACACACGGGCCCCGCGCGGGGGGTCGCGCTCAGGAACTCCTCAAACGGGGCTGAGGCGGCGCCGCTGGATTCGCTTCCCTCCTCAACGTCGGAGCGGTGGCTTTCCCTCTCCCGATCCCAATCCTGGCCCCGATCCCAATCCTGGTCCCGATCCCAATCCTGGTCCCGCTCCGGCCCCCCGGAGCCTCCCCCGGGCCCCCGCCGGGCCCCCACGGCCCGAGCGGCGTCCCCGTCGCTATGGAAACCGGGCCACAGCCTCCCGCCCGCCTCCGCTCCTGATTGGCTCTGACGTCCTTCCCCGTCGCCCAATCGCAGCAGACTCTCGGCGATGCCCCGCCCTCCCTGTTCGCCGATAGGCCCGCGGGCGCGGCCGCCGTTCCCCCCGTGGCTGCAGAACTACAGCTCCCAGCAGCCCCTGCGGCGTGGCCACCGCCCGTGTGCCGTCCGCGCCGGGGCCGCTCCCCGCGTGCGGCCGCGTCACGTGACCGGGCGGGGGTCAGGGCCGTGCCGGGGGAGCGGCTCCGTCCCGTCCGTCCCGGTCCCGTCCGTCCCGGGCGCTCCCGCCGCCGCTCCCGGCGGCTCCTGCCCCGCCGGCCGCAATGAGGGTGCTCGCCCCGCGCTGGGCGGCTCTGGCCGTGCGGGCGGTGGGCGGGCGGTGGGCGCCGCCCGTCCCCCCTCGCCGCGGGCGCAGCGGCCCCGGCCCGCCCGCGCCGCGGGAGTGGGCGCTGCCCGTGAGCCCGCGGGGCCGGCTGCGGGTGCGGCTGCCGTGCCAAGTGACCGTCCGCCCGCTGGACCCGCAGCGCTGGCCGGGCGCGGACCGCGTGCTGGTGGCCGTGAGCGGCGGGAGCCCCGCGCCCCGCGGGCGGGAGGGGGAGCGGGAGCCCGTGCGGGTGGAGCACGACGAGGCGCTGGGACAGGTGGCGATCGTGGCGGACGGTGTGGACAGCAAGGCCGCCGTGGACGTGCGGACGCCGGTGAAGTTCGGTGGGTGCGCGGGAGCCCCTCGGGGGAGTTCTCACTGCCGCGGCTGGGGCCGGTGTGCGGGAAGGGCATCGTGCCCCCCGCGAATCGGGGCGTTCGGAGCGCCCCGGGTCTTCTGTTCCTTGTCTCCGTGGGTGTTTGGATACATGTTTCGGTTGATTTCGATTTGCGGACCTCTTTGTCGGCAGTAGTTAGCGCTGTAGTTCCCGCTGGTGAGCAGTAGTTACAGCACGATGTTTTTGCTCCGGCACCTGCTGCTCCAGAAAAGGCGTAACCTCCGCTCGGAGGCAGCAATCCCTCCTCAGCATGTGCTGTGCACGCTTGCTCTCCAAGGGCTGTTCCCATTTTTATTCCTATGGATTTGTGCAAGTAGAAGTGCTCAAAGCTAAACCAGAGCTCTGCAGATTGTGCCCATCCCTGTTAGAAGTCAGATTTAATTGTATTTAATTTATGGTGCTTTTGTAACTCTAAGATAGAAGAACGTTGCACTTATTTCCTCGCCATCAGCACAACTTTTTATTTTTAATTAAATGAACTTAAAATTTAAAATGTTTTTTAGGCAAAAAAGGTGCAGAAAAAAACCCTCAAACAAACAAAATGCCTTTATGAGTTACAAAGTTTAAAGCTGTCATCAGATCACAAACTCTGTGTCATCTATGACTTTTGTAGAACGTGACACAGCAAAAACATTTTGCACCTTTTATCTTATCTTACTTTTTCCCCTTTATATCTTAGGAAAAATTCTGTCATGTGCCTTTTTTCTCTTGTTTTCTTTTAGAAGGACCTGAACTGTATATAATTCAAACTGGAGAAGTGCCATGGGTTTGACATAACGACATTCTCACATTTTCCAGTCTTACTCATCCCTATAATTTACTTAATTTACTTTTTTTTTTTTTTTTTTTTTTTTTTTTTTTTTTTTTTTTTTTTTTTTTTTTTTTTTTTTTTTTTTTTTTTTTTTTTTTTTTTTTTTATAAATGCTGTTTATAACTAAAGGACTGTTTCTTAAATATCTTTATCAAAACATATAGTCTGTTTTGTTATTTTGTTAATAAAATCAGGGGCATCTCACCCTTCCTGCCCTCAGTGTGTTAGAATGGTTGTACTGATTTGTACCAGTCCAGCTGCCCACTGTCCTTCCTCTGGTAGCAGTCAGAAACAGATGCTCAGGGAAGAGTAAGAGCAGAAGAAACATAAATGATATTTCATTTAAGTATTCCCTTCATTTAAGCTGTGTTTTCGTCACAGGATTTTCAGAGCCTGATACAGCTCAGCCCCTCAGTGGATCTCTCTTCCTGGTGTCCATGCACACATGTAAACAGTTTCAGAGTGAAAACTTCCTGGTAAACTCCCTGCCTCTTGCCACAGTCCCACAATTCAATTTCCTGCTATTTTATCATTTGAGTATAGGGTATTCCAAGGTCTTTCTGCAGTTCATCAGTGAATTTTTAACTGGTCTCGATAATTTGGTGTCATTGGTGAAATTTTTCAACCTTGTTACTTTTGCTAACTTCTGAATTGTTTTAGTGTTGAAGGTGGTACGTAGCTTATAGCTAAAAGACAATATTGAACTAAGGGTATTGTTAAAGGCATCTGAAAATCCAAGTTCATTCTCTTAAACAGAACGGGTGTTACCTCTGTATTCATTGACTCTGTCACTGAACTGTAGCAGGACTCTCTTCTGCAAGAGACTTAAGATTTGACTCTACCAATAATTTTCAGTTACAATGTTATGGCTTTTTTTTCTTTCTTTCCTTTTCATCCTCTGCTTGGCAAGTGTAAAGATTATGAATGTACTACAGACAAGCCAAAGTAGAGTCCACCCCAGAATTACTGAGAATCAAACAAACCTGGGGTTCCATTTTTTACCCTTTAACTCTGGTACCGGTTGTATCTGCCCACTGTAGCTGCTGGTCATTTAATATTTCAGTTTCTCCAGGATCTCTGAGTGACTCTTACAAGTCACTTCCAGACTTGGTTACTCCTGGGGGATAGAATTCATTGTGTTAAGATCTGGAGAATCTCAGGCTTCATAAAGAGTTTCAATGTGGGAAAGCTTCCTAAAGATCTCAAAAATAAATCCTAATTAATGGAAAAAATAGTTTAGCTTTTGTCCTGTCTTTGAGATTCTTACTATATTCTGAATGACAGCCAACACTACAGACCATCTTGTGGTCTTTATTCTTGAAACAGTTTTTCTTAGTTTGTAGGTTTCTAAGCTGTTCCACTTGGGTTTGTGGTAAGCTCATGCCATTCAGGTTCCCTGGACAGTGTATGGATTATAATGCCATTCTATGAACTGCTGTTTGTCACCCCATAATTAGCATGATGTTAGTATTGTCTGTTCATGCTGTTATCCAAGCGTGTCGGGGGATATCTTTCCTAAAAGGTCAAGTTGGTTTTTTTATTCAGTGAAATAGAATTGCTGCTTGCCAGTGAGGTTCTACTTTGTGTTCTTTTGTAATATCTTGTGCTTGAGTTGCTCCTCTTATTTATTTAGAGAAGAATTATCCAATAAATATTGCAAAAGCAAAAGATCTTATCCCTTGTAAAAACACATCTCAAAAGAGAAAGGAACTGTTGTTGCTCTGCCAAGACTTTGGCTTTTCTCTAGCCTATCTAGAATGTGTGAAGAGGATGTTAATTTGGCTCTGCTTAGACCTTTTTGTCTGAACTCTTTTTGTCACTCACCTGTAAGAAGCTGAGAAGTTGATGTGAATGTCTTTACACTGTTCGAGCTTCTGTCTTCATTTTGGAATTTAAGGCATTTTATAACAGCTTTCGCAATTTAGGTTGGAGCTTATCCAGGAAGCTCTAAGTCATCTAAAACTCCTTAGAGCTTGAAGAGCATGTGTGGAGGATGCTGAACTTAAGTATGTATTTTAAACCAAAGGCAACGTGCAAGCAGCTTAGTAGGGCAAATACTGACAGATCCTCTATTTCTGTTTTAGTGTTTGGTTTTAAGCACTCTATAGTATTTCAATATCATACATGATCTGATAATCCTCTGATTTGTTTAACCTTCATAAATACTAGATGTCAATGAATTCTAATCTAGTTTGTTTTCCTTCAAGCCTCGTATATGTGTTATCTGTTTATTCCAGGAAGAGTGTAGTAGGTGCATGGCTGTAGTTTTGGAGCACATAGTGAGAGTGCTGTGTCTTGGCGTATTGAACTGCATGTGCTGATTAAACCTGAAGATCTGGTTAATGTCTGTTGGCTAAGTGCTCAGAAATAAACTCAGCTGAGGTCTTGTATAACCATAATTTGAGATAATTCTAGTAGTCCAGGGCTGCTGAGTCACTTGAAAATAATTTTTCAGTCTATTTCAAATATTATAGCTTTCAGTGCATTCCTTAAGGTTTGTGTGGCTAAAGTTGGCTTCAGTCCTCATCTTTGCTAAGGAGGAAACAAACTGGATATTTTCTGGAATTTTGGCTCTGAAATGGATTGTGTCCTGTTCCTCCTTGTTAAAATTTCACTGGCAGTATTATCCAGCTCTTAGCCTGCTTTTCGTGGAGATTTCTATCACTGCTTCAGGAAG